GGACAAAATTAAAGCAACAACTATGAAAGCAAGCTTTTTTTTCATGTACATGGGCAGCCTCCCTCTAAGGCAGGGTTTAAGATGTCAGAATTAGATGTGAGGAAGACAAGGCTTTTGTAGCTCAGGGGTAGGGAGTTTCCAATGGGGGATTTGGTGGGCAAAACAGGTGGGGTTACGGGAGCAGAACATCATAGCATGTTAGTAGTAACGACCTGAAACAAAGGTATGGTTGCAGGTGGCTCTAATAACAGGTAGTCATAATAAGGTAGTCATAACAATCCTTTCGGAACAAAGGTAGGGTTGCAAGATAACTGCTTATTAACTTTTTGAGACAAAGGCATGATTTCTGTTCCTGGAACAGGCTGTATATAGAACCACTTAAGGTTACAGGTGGGCCATAGCCCAATCCTGTTCTGCTCCTCCCATCCTTAGGATGCCCCACACTAGTAGGAAGGGATCACTTCATTGCTCCCATCCACTTGAGTAACCCTCTGAGAGGCTGCACCATGAGTACACTAGACTCTGTACTGCTGGACTCAGGGTTTGTTTTCAACTCATCAACAATGCTATAACGAGCATCCTTATATATCAGTGAACTTTTGCAACCACAGGATTTAATTCTAGGAGTGAAATAAAGGCTATGAACATTTAAATTTTTCTGTATTTCAACAAACTAAATGGAAAAGCAGAATCAACTTCATACGGCCCTCCATCCTCATCTTCAGCCCTGGGTGTCCTGATGGAAATGCTAGAAACTTACCTTTCTGTAAACCCAAAGGCTACCAACTCCCTCCCTCTGTCCTCAGTCCTGCTGCCACCTGCCCTGAAAAGTAACTCTGGTGCTGTCTTCTCTTCCCGGTTCAGGCCACACTTGCCCACAAGGTGTAAACACTGAGTTGACAACCTGGATGAAAATGCTGTCCCCATATATAATAGTTATGGAGTTACAAAACATTCTCCTAGATGGCCTTTGGGTCCTAGTCCCTTCCGCTTTTGTGTCTAGAATCTTCCAATGCCAGAGTTAAAAAGACCCCCAGAACAGATCTCCTGCAAGCCTGCCTTCTCTCTACTGCATGGATAAAATGATGAAGGCTAAGAAAGAAGACAAAGACAGCAAGCAGCAGAGTCCCGGGGTGAGGAAACCTCTGTGCCTCTTCCCTCGTATTTTTTTTTCCTTTTGAGACAGGGTCTTACATAGGCCAGACTGGCCTCAAACTGGACATGTAGCTGAGGAGGATCATGAACTTCTGGTCTTCCTGCCTCTGTGCTAGGGTTACAGGCTTGCACCACCACTCTTGGTTTACGTGGTGCTGGAGATCGCAATCCCAAAACTCTCTGCATGCTAGGCATCCACCTGAGCTACCATTTCTAGACCTTATTTTATTATTATTTTTTTTTTGAGGCAGGGTCTCCTGCAGCTGAAGACAATTCCTGTTCCTCCTGCCTCCCCCCAAGTACTCAGACTACAGGTGTGTGCTACCAGGTCTGGCTCAGCCTCTCCTCCCACTCCCTGCTGTCTTATCCTGGCTTCACAAAAAGGTGCCTGGGCTTTGCTGGTGACTCCTCTCAATTGCTTATGCAAGTCCACCACTTATGCCTGCTTACTCCACTTGCCAAAGGCCCTCACATCTCTCTGACCTGCTGTGGGGTGACAGCACAGCCTCCAGGCCAGCGGCTCTTCCAGGACATCTGTGTATGCCTGCATGCCAGGGATGTATGCAGAATGTCCCAGCCACCTGCAACCCGTATACTCAGATGCTTACTGTCTATTCACAAGCTGGTTGTCCTCAAGAGAACCGGAGACAGCATTCTTCATATGAGTGATCAACCCAGTAAAGAGCTGAGGGGGCTGCTCCAAGGGAATCCGCTGTAAAGGGGCACTGGGAAGCTCAATACCCCAGGGAAGAAACTGGACGAAGGAGTGCTGAGAAGGGAGGAAAGTAGCCACCACACAAACTAGGGTCTACCCCTGGTTACCAATACCTCACAAAGCCCCATGGGCAAAGCTAACTTTAGCCAGCTGCCAATCTTCAGGATGAGGACATAGGGACCCTCACATACAAAAAGGGGCTGTAGTTTCAAGGGCTTTTCCCATGTTGGTGTCTCAACAACCTCAATACCTCAAGCCATTTGATGGCCCAAAGGCTGTGACATAGCGCAGAGGAGGGGTGCCAGACAGGAAGCACACACTGTTAAGTGCTTCCACGTGCCAAGCCCTGAGCCAAGTTGCTGTCACTGTGTCATCTGCCTTCCCCCTCCACACCTGGGGGATAGGCAGGAGGACTCATCCCTACTTGGAACAAGAAAGGCAGGCTCTGAGTCAAGTCAGTGACAGGGAGGCCTCCACAGTTGGTGCCCTCTGGCTGCCTCAGTTGGCCAGAGAAAGAGCGGCCAAGGCCTGCTCCAGACATAGCCTGTCCTCCCTCCCAAGAGCCCAGGCTAAAAAAGTCTGGGGTGGGTGGGTGGAGCCACCACCCAGCAGGCAGCCCTTTCCTCACACCCCCACACTGCGTGGGCTGGGAGGAAGTGGTGGAGTTGCCATTCCCTTGTGCTCTGAGGCTGCCCATCTGTTTCCTGGGATAGGTCTCCCTACCCCCATCCTTCTACCAGGAAACTCACTTGCTCTAGGGCTGTGGGAAAAGGAACTATTCTGAGTCCCTCTCTCCCCAGGGGGTGGTGACTGCGTCAGAACCCCTTCCCAGGCCTCCTGCTCTCCAGGCTCTTGCTAATCAGCTCCTACCAAAAGCTCTGGGCTCATGAGGCAGAGGGCGGCCATGAGATTCTCCCTATTCCTGACTGTGGCATGGTTGGCATCTTCTTCACTTATTTCAGCCTGGGGGAGGGAGGGACTTAGAGAGAGGAGGTGACATTCTGGGTAGAAGTTAGTAGAAAGTAAAGAAACAAGCCTTTCCAGTCCTCCCCACCCACAAGGCCCCACAACTGTCATCTGTGTGAGAGGAGCTCCCTCTGCTGGACATGCAAGACACAGCCACTAAGTGGCCCCACTTCAGGGCCTATGCAGACACAAGGAAAATGAATCTCTCCATGTCTTAACAATGTGTGCCCCACAAAACTAGTGTTGGATGAACACAAGCAGTGCCAGAGCAGCCTATGGCCTTATGTCAAATGAGTTTAAAGGAGAATAAAGCCACCAGGTTGGGACCGACAGAAGGTGTGTGAGCGAGGGTTTGTAGACTTGGTGACAAGAAGGGCAGTTACAGGCAAGGGCCAACCCAAAGCAATGGGCATTAGGTGGAACACAGGAACAGCAGGAGGCTGCATGGACAGGGGATTCTAGCGGAGAGAGCCGTCCACCTACTGCAGCTGACAGTATTTCAGTCTTTGAATCTCTGCTCCTGAATATTAATATATAAAACTAATCAAAACTGGCCAAGAACTGAGGGAGAAAAATCTCCCGCTCTATCACTATCTCTGAGCACCAGAGGGAACGAGGTTCAAAACAAGAAGTTCAGGCAATGAACGTCCCCTGAGGCTTTCTGCATTTGACGGACAAGCAGCGCATCTGACATAATGGAGAGCAAAGCCCAGGAGTTCAGGGAGGAATGAAAATGGGAGCAACATAGAAGAGAAAGTGGGAAGTACATTTGAACACATTGGCACAGGAGACCACTTCCTAAATAGAACCCCAGCAGCACAGACACTGAGAGAAACAATAAATGGGACCTTCTGTAAAGCAAAGGACAGTCAACAAGACAAAATGGCAGCCTACAGAATGGAAAATGATCTTCATCAGCCCCACATCAGACAAAGGGCTGATCTCTAAAATACACAAAGAACTAAAGAAACTGATCATCAAAAGAACAAATAATCCAATTTTTAAAAAAGGGGTACAGACCTAAACAGAGAACTCTCAACAGAGGAATCTAAAATGGCTGAAAGACACTTAAGGAAATGTTCAACATCCTTAGTCATCAGAGAAATGCAAATCAAAACAACTCTAAGATTCCACCTTACACTTGTAAGAATGGCCAAGATCAAAAATTCTGATGACAACTTATGCTGGAGAGTTTGTGGGGAAAAGGGAACACTTCTGCATTGCTGGTGGGAGTGCAAACTGGTACAGCCACTTTGGAAATCAGTGCAGCCATTTCTCAGAAAATTAGGAAACAACCTTCCTCAAGACCCAGCAATACCACTTTTGGGTATATATCCAAAGGATGCTCAATCATACCACAAGGACATGTGCTCAACTATGTTCACAGCAGCAAACTTTGTCATAGCCAGAACCTGGAAACAACCTAAAAAGCCCCTCAATGGAAGAATGGATAAGAAAAATGTGATCCATTTACACAATGGATCACTACACAGCGGAAAAAAAATAATGACATCCTGAAATTTGAGGGCAAATGGATGGGTCTAAAAACATCATATTGAGTGAGGTGAGCCTGACCTAGAAAGACAAATATATGTAATCACTCATAAATGGCTTTTAGACATAAAGCAAAGAAAAACCAGCCTATAGTCCATAACCCCAGAGAACCTAGACAATAATGAGGACCCTAAGAGATCTAATGATCTAATCTACATGGGAAGTAGACAAAGACAGTATCTCCTGAGTAAATTGGGAGCATGGGGATCATAGGAGAGGGTAAGAGGAGAGGGGAGAGGAGAAAAATATATAGCTCAATAAAAAAACAATTTAAAAAAGAAAATGGGAGCAGGGAGCAGGGCGTGCGGAAACTCTCTGCCCTTCTCCAGAGCACTCTCCTTCCACAGGACTTCACGACTCTTTAGGGTCAGTATATGGGATCCGAACTCTCCACTCACTCCCTTTCGCTGTCTTCTCATGCTCTGCCCCCACCCCTGCTATCTCATTTAATCTACCTTCTCCTTACCTTGTACATGCCCATCTCCTGTGTGTCCTGCCCCCAGCACACCCCAGGGCTAGGAAAAGAACATCCCTACAGCAGTGCGTTGGCTCAGGAGCACTGACTCCCTAGCGCCAGAAGCCACTACACCTGCCTTGAGAAGATACTCACCCCAGGAATGTCCAAAAGCTTTGACACCAGGAGAGGCAGCTTCAGGGCAGCAACGCTTCCAGTGACCCCGACAAGAACATGGAACTTTCTCTCCATTGAGGGTATGGCAGCTGGGCATGGGGCCCTTGGTTCCATGTGGCATCTGGTGGCTTTCTGGGAGCTAGAAAGTCCAGGTTTAGAATCTAAAACAGAATAAAGGGCTTCCTTTCCGTTCACACAGTCATATAACATGCAGCTTGTGCTATGCCCTAGACGATCTCCCAGCTTCTGGGAGAAAAGTGTGTGATGATCAAGTCAGGCCTCCTCTCCATACAATGCTGTATGCGCTATACCTGTGCCATGGCTGCCAGTGACTGTGCCAGAGATTATGTCACATAAAGATGCCATTCCGGCTGATTCCTGAAGGACAAGCATTTTCTCAGACAGAAAGAAATTACTTCAGAAGGAATAACCCTGCCTAGTGAAGAGGTCTGAAGGAGAACAGAGGGTCTGGAAAGAAGGTATAGGTTAAGAGAGAAGCTGAAGAGTCATGAGGGGGTTAGGAAGAGCCAGACAGGCTGCATGATCAGATCTGGGCCAGAATGTCAAGGGTGGTGAGAACCTGGCGCTTTGCTATGAGAAAGATGGCAGTGGAGCTGGCAATGTGAGGGAACCGTGGCTAGTGGTGGAGAGTGGGGAGTTACTACAGTGGGCCTGGCAGGCTGCTGAAGGGGCTGGAAAGAGGATGAGGTCCAAAGACGCTAGTGAGTGGAACCATAGGCAAGAAGGGTGCTTCTGCAGCCAAGAGACTTGTTCTGGAATCCTGTCCCATATTTGTGGACCAGGCTGAGCAACAACCTGCAGATTGATTTCTACGAGCCAAACACAAGGCAGCAGACCACTCCGCGGGAGCAGCTGGCTGGGCTCCTCCTCTGGCAGGTGCTTGTGATGCTGGGCTGCTGCACACACTGAAGCCTGTGCTCTGGCGGCTGGCCCAGCACACCTCACTCCGTCAGCCACCACCACTGAGGGCTGACTCTGGGCAGAGATGGGTGGAGGGCAGCTGCCTTTAGAGACTCTGGGGATGAGCTGGAGCTGGAGCGTTTCTAGAGTGAACCTATCCAATGATTTCTCACTCGATTTATACATCAGTTTCCTTCGCCTCTCCCCTACCAACAATTTCCCAAAATATGAGCAGATGAATCACCAACCACCACTCCCCTCACTTTAATCTTCAGTATCTGCTGAATGAATTACATGCAGAACCTGCCCTGTGAAGCAGGAGTCTTAGGTCCTGCCCAAGGTTGCACTCCTGACCCAGCGTATGGCCTTGGATCAGAATCATCCCCTCCTCAAAACTCTGTTTATATAGGGCTAGGGACAGCTGATTTCTGAAGTGTCCTCCAGTACAACCTGAGTAAATGCAAAAGACAGAGATAACTGGCTCTTTTTATGAGACAGAAAACCCTAGAAGATGTTCTCCAAAAGGGCAAGATCGGCATGGAAGGAGAACCTAGTAGCTCTAGCTCCCTCCATGCCTGGATACCCATAGGCGCCTCTCTGTTTGGCATTTGCCTATAACATTCAGGCATATACCCTAAGAGCTGAGGTACTCTTCTCAAAGGGATTAAGCACAGACTGGTTCCCTGAGTACAATTCCCACCCCTAAAGTTCAACCTGCCAGCATTTTTAAAGATTTGCATTATTTACATATTTACTGTTTATGTGTGTTTTATGTGTTACCATCAGGTATTCTGACTGCATGTATGTCTGTGCATCAGTTGTGTACAGTGCCCACAGAGGCCAGAAGAGCATGTCAGATCCCCTGGAACTGGAGTTACAGATGGTTAGGAGTTGCCATGTGGGTCTAGGGAATCGAACCCAGGTCCTCTGCAAGAGAAGTATATGCTCTCTTAATCACCAAGCTGTTGTAGAATATTATTTTAAGGTGTGTTACTTTTGTTTATGCTCTGGAACATGTGTTTGATGATGCAAAGATTTGTTTGATTAAATAAAATTCACCTGTGGTCAGGAGGCTACGTCAGCAACTAGCTGACACAGGAAGTTGTAGGGAGGAGCCAGGTGGAGAAGGGTTAATAAGGAGGTATGAGAAGGAGTGAGAGAACTTGGGAAACTCTGAGACGAGCTGCTTGCTATTCAGCCTCTGGGGAGCAGGATTCCACCTCAAGCCCTGAATCTTGAGTCCTTTTGAGGAATAGAGATTTAGAGAAGTTCCTGCTGTAGCTTTGAAAGAGCCTGAGGAAACAAGTCCTCAGGCTAAGAGGACAACACGGAGACCTCCGCCCCCACACCCTGCCGACAGCACTTTGAATCTTTTCTGTAATTTGGAACCTTGACCAGGACCAGGCTTGTTAGAAAAATGAGTCCACCAAAAAGTCTCCCTCCGCACACTGTTGACAACTGACAAAGTCCATGGAACCCACTAGCCAGCTCCCCAGAACACATCAAAGCGGGTGAGAGACACTTTGGGTTTTTTATTGTTGCTAATTATTTTTAATTTTATGGACATATGTGACTCTGTACACTTGAGTGCAGACGCTCGCGGAGGCCAGGGGCATCCGGTCATCTTGGATTTGGGGCAGTTCTGAGCTGCCTGGCATGGGTGTGCACACAAGGGATAGGGATGAACTCGGGTCCTCTACAGGAGTAGCCCAGTTCCATGAGAAGCACGTTCTTGATTCTCCAGCAAATCTTACCTGTCAGTCCTCAAACCCTGACTCCGTCCTACTTCAGCCAAATGGCACAAGAACAGGAAGAGTCCTACAAAACAGAAGCACAATTTCATCTCTGCAGTCTGTGAACCTCACAAGATAAAATTCCCAAGGGTCATGTTCCATAAAGTTGTCAATTAAACTACAGGCCGGACTCTGCCCTGCTCATCCAACTGTTCCCCACAGCAGGCACTGTGGCCCAAGATACACTGCCTGATCTGCTAGCCAAGCTTTGCTCAGGACCAAAGCCATTCTTCTGGGGGTACGGGGGAGGCGGCAGCAGAGAGAGACTGATTTATAATTGAAGAATAGAAACTAGATTATTTAACCGATATTTGGAAGTGAGGTCAAATATGTTCAAACTCAGGGTCCCAGGGGGAGTGACAGTTGGCAAGGGTTTGCTAAGATCAAATTCTAAGCCAATTAAATCTCTTCCTCCACCCAGATTCTATTAAAGACTTTTTAAATTTTTATTCATCAACAGTTGGGGTGACTGCAGGCAGCACCTCACTTCCCTATCTCCTGCCACTCATAGGAACTGTGAGCAGCAGAGAAGAGAGGACAAGCAGGCAGCAGGTCACTACAAACAGGCTGAGCTCAGGGACCAGGGCGGTCAGCCATGCAGGAGAGCCACAGCCAGAAACCTGCACTTTCTCTACCCTTCAGAAAGAGGGAAAAATCCGCCACTTACATAATAAATGTAACCCCTGAAACACAGTAACACGAGAAACTCTTTTCTACACTTTAAAATGGATCTTTTTGTATGTCTTCCTAGCTGGTTGGTGATGAACCTTCTGAGGCTTCGGAGCACAAGTCTTCCAGCACAAGCTCCGGAGGGCAGTTAGGATAGCTAACCCTCCATCCTAAACACCGAGTTCATTGGTTTGAACAGACAAGTCAGTGCATGTCTGTGTTCCCTGACCTAAGTACCATGCTTGTTCAGACATGTCCAGGAGCTGACCACTCTAATTCTCTCCCACCACCACTTACCCTCCCGAGAGAAAACTCAAAAGACAAGCTTTTATTGTCCTATGGTTCAATGTTCTGCTTAAACCTCTAGAGTCAAACTTGAGTTACTCTTGGCTATCCTTGAACTTAGGGTTAATTTTTCTTTCCACCCTTCATAGGCTGAGGTAAAGGTACAGGGAGATGCCTCTATTACCAATGTGCTGGCTACAGTTTATTGCTAGACCAGCTTTTATTTTAAGCGGCATATGCATAAAACACTTTTTTATATTTTTACTTGACCTGTATTATAACCACAGAACGTGGCACGAACTTACACTTACTCTTATGCATATTCAAGAAAAAGTGGGGTTTGATGGCACATGCCTTTGATCCTGGCACTTGTGAAGAAGCGGACAGATTTCAAGACATGAGTTCAAGATCAGTGTGGTCTACATAGTGCATTCTGGGCTACACACACACACACACACACACGAGGGGGGGGGGAACCTCTGTGTGACTTGTAAGTCTCCTCTCATTTAGTCAAGCTCAAAGTTTAAAGTTTCATGGACATCTGCCAGTAACAAAATGGGCAAAAATGTAGCCAGGAAAATGTCACCACCCTACACCAAAACCCATACCACCTGGCACCTAAACCCATTTTACAACAGTAGGAAGAGCAAGGAATGCTCGTTCAGTCAAAAGGTTGGCATTCTAATGGACTTCCCTCAAACCAGAAGTAGGCGTGTTTGGCTCTAAGGCTCCTGCCGTTCCATCTGGGCACCTCTTGAGGACACACCACCAGCACCCACACTTCCTGAAGCTGGGAATCTCTCCTGCCCATTTTCTAGTTCTGACTTCCAATATTCCAATGGTCAGTAATCCGGATTTTTTTTTTTCGGACAAAAACTGCCCTCATTCTAATTTTTAAATGCCGCTTGGTACGTTTAGGGATTAAGCAGCTAAACACTCAGGGTTTTCCTTTCTCTAGTTTATTGACTTAAAACACAGTTTGAGGCAAGTTGGCTCAGTAAGGTAGCTTGCAGCCAAGCCTGAGGCCCTGGATATAAATGCCGGGACTTACACAGTGGAACTGAGTCCCGCAAGTTGTCCTATGACCTCCACAAGCACGCCGTGATAGCAACCCTCCTTCAAAATAAGTGTCATTTTTTAAAAAAGCTTGCACTTCGGGACGCTCCTAAGTCTCTTTGGAGGCAGCTTATGCTGCAGTTTTTCAAAGGCAAGCGTCAAGTGTGGGTGTTCTGACTGCGTCGCCTTTAAACTTTTAGATCAACTCTGGTCAAGGATGGAGCACGTCAGCGGGCACAGGTGCAGCTGCTAACCCCCAACTCTGAGCTCGAGGTCACACCCGTGGCCCCACATTACACACATAATACGAAGACCCTCACTCGGACCCATAGTCAGAGGGGAGTCGCCCACCGCCACACCAACGCGGGACCCAGGGACATGGCTTTCCAGCCCCTTCCATGGCTCACCGGCTCCAGCTTCTCCCAAGTATCGCGGTATCTAGGCTCCCTTACCCTCTGTCTCTAAATGGCACGCGAGAAAGCTACGTGATCGCATAGCCTTCTGGGAGTCGTAGTCTAATTCTCTGCCTTCTGGGAGTTGTAGTCACTAGAGCGCCCGGTACTTTGTACATTCCCTAGAGCTCGCTCCAGGACCGACATAATTGTGTGATTGGCCAACAACCCCGTGTGCCTGTTCAGAATTCAGACACTTAATACTATTTACCACACCTGTTCTAAAAGGCAGCTATGCATTTGAGACAAACAGGAATACAGAAAATTAGAGGCTAAAAATGAGGAAGCTGGAAGATCTAAGCCACAACTCTAAACAGGAAAGCCATGTCATTGAAGTGATCATTTCGAGAATTTTTTTTTGGGGGGGGGGGGGTAACTCTGGCTGTTATGGAACTCAGAAATCTGCCTGCCTCTGCCTCTGCAATACTGGGATTAAAGGAGTGTGCTACCGCATCATAGCTCCTTGAGAGGTATCTTGAGGGGTGACCAGCACAGAGGATCTAGACAGCACTCCTAACGGGGCACGCCTTTAGCAAAGACTCGGCCTACTGGAATAATTGTCGTTATCACCCTGCAACAATTATAGATCTCAAGAACCCGTGTTCACTGAGGTGCTGAATTAGCTTCAGCGGACCCACCATGGAAGCTGAGGGCCTGTGTTCCAGTCCTACCATTGCCGGCCATGAACCGTCAGGACCATTACCCTCACTCACTGTTACAGGCCACGTCTGTTTCTTCTTCTTCTTCTTTTTTTTTTTAAGATTGATTTACTTTTTTTTAAATATTTATTTATTATGTATTTATTTATTATAGATACAGTGTTCTGTCTGCATGTATGCCTGCAGGCCAGAAGAGGGCACCAGACCTCATTACAGATGGTTGTGAGCCACCATGTGGTTGCTGGGAATTGAACTCAGGACCTTTGGAAGAGCAGGCAATGCTCTTAACCACTGAGCCATCTCTCCAGCCCCCCTGTTTCTTCTTCTTAACTGGTAGTTGTGGCGTTTACTTCATGGCCCTCTCAAGGCTGCTTCAAGGAAAGGATCACATATAGTTTGGGGCGTCAGATCCACTCCACCCAGCCCTACACCCCTGCCTCACATCCCACAGCAAGGCTTCATTAAAATCCACACGAAGACAAGTAACACAGCAGCATAGACAGGGTCAAATGATCCCTTTATTATAGTTCATCCAGTTACCACAGATTGACACATTGGCTCAGGCAGGTCAACTGCCAGCTAGGGAATAGTTTGTGTCTCTCAGAAACAAGGGGCATTGGGCACCAGGAGAATGCAAAAGCAGGTCACTGGCTGGCAACAGACAGGAGGATCCCCAGAACCGACCGGGCCCTCCTCCCACACCCAAACCAAACCATCCGTGCCCAGCCCCATTTCTCGGCCTGGTTCCCCCCTCATGAAAGTGCATAGTTGCCTGGAGATGCAGCATTCCAGGGCCTGAGCAGTTGGGCCAGACACTGGTAACAGGCTTTCCCAAGTCAGCGCCAGGCATGGAAAGAGGAACGGCAGGGAGGACGGGACACTGACCGGAGGTGACATCCAATAGCTAGTGAACGCTAGGCTGGCAGCTGCTCACAGCCCTCCCCGAACTACTGGAGGACCAGGAGAAAGGGAGCCAGAAGTCTGGGGTCAGGAGGGAAAGGGAGGAAGGGCCCCGCTCCAGGGTCTCAGGATACCAGGGACCATGACAACTGCTCTCCAGAGAGGAAACAGTACGGGAAAGAATCAGCTAAGCCTAAGGGGTCACTAGGAAAGGAACTTTCCAGAGACACTTGGCTTCTCCTACAAGAAGCTGAAGATCAAAGTTCAAGGTGGCCTGAAACCAAGGCAAACCAGCCTGGAATGGCTGAGTGCAGTCTGGTTCTCCAGTCCACCGAGCCCAGGTGAGTTTCTGTTGGAAGAAGTGAGAAATAGGCAACTGCTCCTTGGTAAGGCCTACCCACCTCAGGCCTCACACAGCCGGATCCATGACCAGGCAATGTCTACCCACTGCATGGAAGAGACAGTCCCAGGGACTAAGATCAGTCATGAAGGGATAGAAGATTCTAACAGAACTTTAAAAAGGCCAGGAACCAAGTCCTATAATTGAATGGAAGAGGAGGGAGGGGCAAAACTCACTAAATGAAAATCTAAAGGCAGAGTCCTCCTTCCCTCCCTGGCCACCAGGAACCCCTATTCAGGACATTGTGCTTGCAGCTTAAACTGGGCCTGGGAGCATCTCCACAGAATCTGTCCTGTAGCCAAGGGCAAGTGGGACTGGAGAGGTAAGCTACCCTCTCATTGGGCTTCTATTTGACTTCTCTTTTGATCCCCGCCCCCTTCAGACCTGGCTCTCCAAGCTCTATCCTTTCTGCCATACTCAAATAGAACAGCTATTCCTCCCAAGAACCCAATGGTCACTCTGAGATACCTAGAAGCCCTTATGGGCTGGGGCCAGCCACACTTCTCCCAGGTGCCAATAATGAGTTCTATGTCCTCTGTTCCCACAGTGCCCTTACAGTTAACATAGCCCAGCTCCACAGGAAATGCAGAGTGGTTAAAGGAGGATGTGGGGAGGAAAGAAGGGGAGTGGGAGAGGGAAAAGAAGCCTGCCTCTGCAGGCCAGGCTTTCAGAACCAAGGAGAAAGGCCTACATTTCCATTCCCTGGTGTCAAGTACCAAACGGGCTCTCCATCTGCAAGCTGTGTGCCCTTCCACATCAGGGCTGGCTCAGCTCCCATGTCAGCTTCCTTGAACTGGGCATCAGATCAGATCTGGGGACCTGGGCAGTCTTGGAAGCAGACATAACTGAGACACTCAGTATTAGGAAGACAAAGAAAAGCTACCCGCAGAGGAGAAAGATCCTGGGAGAGGCAGCTAGGGAAGAGAGCACAGAGTCTAACAGTGAGGACGAAACAAGGGGAGAAAGAGGTTGAGGGGAGGACTACAGGGGCGAGAAACATCCACTCTGTCCCACCCTCCAGAACCTACTCATCACCATGAACGCTAAATACTGTTGCTTCCCAGTGGGACCAAAGGGGGAAATAACTTCGGCTCATAAACCATGCACAGGGTGCCAGACTCTCTGCTAGGCCTCCCCCTGCCCCGTGAGGAGTCCCTGGGCCAGGGTCAGAGGGGGCAGCCGGGTGGACCGGGGAGGGGGCAGCTGGTTTAGTTCTAAACATACATCTAGCACCACAACAAGAGATCGCCACTAGGCCGGGCGGTGGTGGCGCACGCCTTTAATCCCAGCACTCGGGAGGCAGAGGCAGGCGGATCTCTGTGAGTTCGAGACCAGCCTGGTCTAAAAGAGCTAGTTCCAGGACAGGCTCCAAAACCACAGAGAAACCCTGTCTCGAAAAACCAAAAAAAAAAAAAAAAAAAAAAAAAAAAAAAAAAAAAAGAGATCGCCACTGCACATTATTTCACGAGGGGACATGGACGCGGCCACTAGTGCACAGGACCACTCCCTGTGCAGCCCACAGCTCTTGAGGTGCCAAGAGCAGGACCCAAAAGGTGGGGCAGGGGATAGACATATACATATATATTTACATATATATATATATATATAACTCTGATTCTTTGTACAAAGTTGGGGAGGAGAAAAGGGAAGGGGGAACCCTGCTTGGTCACCACACAGATGATGTGGCTTGAGCCCCCTGTCCCACTGGCCCCCAGCCCTGCCTCCTAGTGGGCTTGGCCGGCTCACATCTCATTAGAGTATGTGTAGTTGGGGGTGGCAGAATATTGAGTCTGCGGTTGATTCATGGCACCCTGTGCAGCCCCCATGGCTGCATTCTGGGCTGCCTGTTGCACATGTGGGTTCTTCCATGCACCAGTGGTCCATTCCTCCTGAGCTTTGCTGAAACTGCCCCCGCTGCCCCGGTAGAACTTATGAACCTGTAGGAACGAAAGCAGAAGGGTTAGTCAAAGAGGAAAGCAAAGTGTTGTTGCATGCCTACAATTCTCAAAGAGGCAGGAGAATCATGATTCAAGAGGCTGTATAAAATATAACGCTGGGCAGAGGTGGTGCATGCCTTTAATCCCAGCACTCGGGAGGCAGAGGCCAGTCTGGTCTACAAGAGCTAGTTTCAGGACAGGCTCCAAAGCAACACAGAGAAACCCTGTCTCGAATGCCCCCCTCAAATAAATAAATAAATAAATAAATAAATAAATAAATAAATAGCAGGATAGTGGCACATGCCTGTAGCCCAAGCAAGCCCCTGGGCTGCAGAGGTGGGACGGTCAGGAGCCCAGGGTTATTCTCCAATACATCTTAAATTTGAGGCCAGCCTGGATTTCATACGTCCCTGTCTCAAGAATTAATTAATTAAAACTGGGCATGGTGGTATGCACTTTTTTTTTTTTTTTTGGTTTTTGGTTTTTGGTTTTTCGAGACAGGGTTTCTCTGTGGTTTTGGAGTCTGTCCTGGAACTAGCTCTTGTAGACCAGGCTGGTCTCGAACTCACAGAGATCCGCCTGCCTCTGCCTCCCGAGTGCTGGGATTAAAGGCGTATGCGCCACCACCGCCCGGCTTGGTATGCACCTTTAATCCCCCACAGAGGCAGGGGGATCTCTGAGTTCAAGGGCAACCTGATTTACAAAGTGAATTCCAGGACAGCCAGGGCTACAAAGAAATCCTGTCTCAAAAGGCCAAAAATAAATATATATTTTTTAAACGGGGAAGGCAGCCATTCAGGAAACAGATGGGATTCACTTGTGAAAAATCAGCCCTCACAGTACATCAGAAGACTGTGTGTGTGTGTGTGTGTGTGTGTGTGTGTGTGTGTGTGTGTGTGTTCATGTGACCTCGGGTGTCAGAGGGCAGCCTCCAGTGTCAGTTCTTGCCTTCCACCTGATTTGAGAGACAAGGTTTCTTGTTTGGTCACTGTATGCATCAGGCTAGCTGGCCCACAATGTCCCATCTCCACTTCCTGTCTTGCCGTGGGAGCACTGGGATACTGATGCTCACAGAGCCTGGCTCTGCATGGGTTCCTACTATTCACACACAGCTCCTCACAGTGGCACAGCAAGCGTGCTTTACCCACTGAGGTATCTCCCCAGGACCCCACAGGAGGGGGTGGGTGCACTTGCCTGCGTATGTACATGTGGAGACCAGAGGTCAACTTTGACTATCGTCTTCCACTGTTCTCCACCTCTTGTTTGGAGAATGCCCCTCTGTCTCTGACTCTGACGCTTGCCACTTCAGCTAGACTGACTGACTAGAGACCTGGACTCTGCCCATTTCTGCTCTGCTCCCAGCTCTAGGGTTGCAACCATCTGCCACCATGTCGGGCTGTGGATTCTGGGGAATCTAAACTCAGGTTTTCTTATGCAGTAAGCACTTTACCCACCAGCTCCCTAACCTCCTGAGTCCTTTTTTTCCTTTTTTTTTTTTTTTTCAATTTTAGAGACAGAGTTTCTCTCTATAACACCTCTGGCTGTCCTGGAACTTGCTTTGTAGACCAGACTGGCCTCAAACTCATAGAGATCCGCCTGCTTCTGCCGCCACCACCGCTCAGCACCTGAATCCTCTTGTAACTTGGAGGACGGCTGATTTCAGATCACAGTCCCCTCCCAAAGCTGCCCTATCACCTTTGAGGTTTACACATACCATGCTAAGGGCGATGAAGGAAAAGACAGCCACAACTGTAAACATGACCGTGGGAATGAGCATCACCACCGCTGAGCCAATGTTCGTACCGAAGAAGGAGATGGTGGCGATCCAGCCGCTGTAGGAAGAAGCCAGCTGTGGGACTAGGGATGGTAGGAAAAGGGGACCCAGGAGCCATCCCAGGATAATCTCATTGCCACAGGAAGGAGCTATACCACTAGCCACAGAAGGACCCCATTTCTGATTTTCCATAGCCTACACTTCCAGAGCTCCTGAGCCAGGCTTTTCCTCCCCAGCTTTCGCACAAAGTCTGACTCTTCTTGGCCACCCAGACACCCCTTCCCGTTTCTCCTTCCCCTCCAATCCTATGGTGAACACTACTCCACTATCCCCAAACCCCTCATGCTACCCACAACAAGCCTCTTGGTGTCCTTAAAAGCAAATCATCCTAGTACACAGGTAAACAAACAACCCAAATGCTACTCCTACTAGCCCCAGATCAGTCCATTGTCTCTTACCAGACACCCCAGCCTGGAATTCCCACAGCCTGGATGATGCTAATGACCAACTGGGCCATGAAGGTGAAGAAGAAGGCCATGAAGCTGAAGGAGCTGTCTGTCCTGTGGCAGAGAAGATGGTTTGTCACCTGGGCAGAAGCACTGGGCTTCCCTGTGCTCATGAACCCAAAGCTCCTCGGGGCATAAATGATAAGGCTATTTAAAGGCTTTAAATGAGAGTCTAAATAGGATGTCCTTCATCCATAGATCTCTAAAGGTTCCCATCAGTTATGCCTATGACAAGAAAGGGATGTCCTCATGAAAGGACCACCCATGACACAAGGACTCTACTGGCATGGAGACAGGTGGTTCCACTGTGGGAAAAACAAACAGTTCCATTATCGAGGGACTGGAACAGGGATGGATGACTCTATAGAACAGAAAATCTCAGTGGTACTAGAAGAGAGACCTTGTTGGCACCACAACAGGAGCTAATTGGCACATGTTAGTCCTATTGACAAAGAGATTTAAGGCTCCATTGGCACTGAAATGTATATTCTGCAGGCATCGAGACAGCCTTGCTGCTATGTGCAGCCCTAATGACACAAAGACTGAAAACCCAGTTGGCACTAGGACACTCACTGGCACCAAGACAGCTAGCCCCATCAACACATAGATAGGTATCCCCTTTGGCACAGTATTGGATGACATCATTGGCACATGAACAGTGTCAGTGGTACGGGTACAAGGATGGACAGCTCCACCAAGAAACCCCATAGGCAAAATTTGACAAGCAGGACAGACTGAAAGGAAATAATAAAGGTCCCACTCCCAACCCTCTCAACCCAGCCTGGAATTCCCAGGAAACCCAAACCCCACCTGACAGTCCCAGTCAAAGGTTAACAAAGAAAACAGCAAACAGAGTTGGGGGGATAGGAGACAGAGAGAAATTGGGGTAGCCACTGAGATCAACACCAACCACTTACTTGAAGGCCTTGTAAATGGGCCGAAACCAGCAGACGTAGGAGCAAGGTGTGAAGAGGATGAGCCAGAGAAAGGCGAGGCCAAAGTTGGTGGCTCCCCCGCCTCCGATCAGCCACGCGAGACAGCCCACCAGGTTCACGGCCAGCGTGACGCTGTTCACTGCAGACCCAGGAGCACATGCACACGCAGAGATAGACACCAGATACACACAGACACCAAAGTCCGTACAAAGATGTGAGTATCCAAACATGGAGGCATACACCGGGATTCCATATAGATTCACAACCAAATGCATAGCAACAACAGACAAGCAGCAAGATACAGACATACACATACAAGTGCAAACATACACACAGATGACCCACAAGTCACACCAATGAATACACAAAGACACACACACACACACAGAGGGAATACAGACTGTAAGAAAGAAAGCTGGAAGCTTGGGTCAACCCTTCCCCAAATCCATCCCAGGAATCTGAGAAATCCCAACAACCAAGAGTCTCTAGAGCAAGAACCCAGAGCTTCTGCCCAGAAAGCCCCCTGGAAGGACTTCAAAGCCTCAGGATCCTGTCCTTATAAGAAAGGCCTCTGGGGTAAGGGTGGAGGGGACTCTGTGCTAGAACTGAGCTTCGCATGCAAGATGCTGAGGTCCATCCCCAAGACTCAGTCCTTGGTCCCCCCAGACCCACTGCAATCACCAACCCCAAGGCAAGAGAGCTATCTTATACATTTTCTTACAAAGTAGGGACATGGAAGCAGGGAAGAAAAAGACATTCTGGAAGCATCTCTTCAAACCACTGGTCCACCTGCCTGGCATGACAATGGATCAGACAACAGTGGCTGGGAGTTCAGTCCTTATCTAATCCATTTCTCTGATTACCATTGTTCTTCCAAGATGTCTTCCTTACCTATCCCGCTTTCCTCTGACCTACAGGTCTGGGCTGCTGTGTAGTTCCCCAAATATAATTCTAGTCCAGCATCCAAACTAGAAATTCCTCAGTGGTGAGATCCAGACTCCTTTTCCTCTTTCTCACCTCACCTAGAAGATCCTAGGACATCACTGAATCACAGCTGGCTGAGGTCTAAAGGTGCTTCATTTTACAGATTAAAAAACAGACATTGGCACTAACATACGCCTAGGTCTTCAAACCCCAGACAAATCCCTTCCTTGAACATCGGGCTGAGTCCCCAAAGACCTGCTGAGTTAACAAAGGAAGATGGGCTCAATCTAGGCCTCAACAGTCAAGCTCCAAAGCTCATCTTCTGAATCTCAAAGCTTAGAGACATTGTTTCAGGACAAAGCACCTGACAGGCACCTAGTAAAGACTTAAGGAGGTATTTTTAGCCCTCAAATCCAGCTTCTGGGCCAGATCGTCTCACAAGGCAGAGTTCTGGGAACCTAGGGCCAGAGAGAATGCTCCCCTAAGCCTGACCTGGCCTGCTAACTATGTTACCGGTGCAGCTACACCCATCTCAGTTTACCCCATAACAAATATGGATACTTCCTGTATATTCCAGATGTTTCCTCCATTCCTGTTCACTGCTTCAAAGTTTCCTAGAGCTTTGTTGTTCTTATTGATTTTGTTTGTTCTTTAAAAACAATGTTGTGTGTGTGTGTGTGTCTTTGTCATAATGCATGTGTGGAAGTCAGAAGACAATTTGCAACCCTAACCCTGATTCGGTTCTCTCCTTCCACTGTGTGGCTCTAGGGATCAAATTCAGGTCGTAAGACTTCATGGCAAGCCCCTTATCTGCTCAACTATTCTGTTGGCCTGTATTTGCTTTACACACAGAAAAGACACTACCCATTATCCTAATGGCTAGCATTACTCTTCCCAGGCCCACTCATCTCTAGCTCACTTGCTCTAGAGTTTGATCACAATTCTCCTTGCTGTCCGGGGATGGACATTCCCTGATTCAGCCACACTTCTCCAGCCAGGAGGCATTTTCTGTTTTTACTCTTCTCCCTGTCCAGTTTAGAGTCTGCAATTCTTTTTTTATTGTTGTTGTTGTTGCTTGTTTGATTTTGTTGTTGTTGTCTTTCAAGTCAGGGTTTCTCTGTAGCTTTGGAGCCTGTTCTGGAACTCACTCTGTAGACCGGTCTGGCCTCAAACTCACAGAGATCCGCCTGCCTCTGCCTCTGCCTCTCTCTGCCTCCTGTGCTGGGATTAAAGGTGTGTGCCCCGTCTACCTGGCTATAGTCTGCAATTCTTTGTTATACTTTCTTCCTTTCATCTTTCCTTTTGAGACAGGTTCTCACTGTATGACCCTGGCTGACTTAGAACTTACTATGCGGACAAGGCTGACCTCGAACTCACAGAGATTCATGTGCTTCTGCCTTCTAAGTGCTGGGATTAAAAGTGTGCAGTGACTATAACACACATCTCTGCCTGAGCTGAGTGTCCCTAAGGAGAAAAGGTTGCCATGGGGAAGTCTAGATAGGAACATCAGATGATCCTATGCATGCCCCAGAGATCTTAGCAGCTGGCTTTCTCACTCCACCTTCTGTTATGAACACAGGCACCCACCTTCTCCCCAAAAAACCCACCCTCAGTCCTTCTCTCTCTATATATATTTTTTAATTTTAACCTTTTTTATTATTATTTATGTGTATGGGTGTTCTGCCTGCATATGTATCTGTGTGCTGTACAAACAGCGCCTGTGAAGGCCAGAAGAAAGCCTGGAACTGGAGTTACAGACAGTTGTGAGCTTCCATGTAGGTGCTGGGAAGTGAACCCAGGTCCTCTGGAAGAGTAGCTAGTACTCTCAACACTGAGCCATCTCTCCAGTCGTCCCCCCTCTCCTTATTTAATGGGATAAACCATCAAATAAAAAGCCATTAAGGGCAATCTCGTTTTCCTTCCAACATCTATAGGCTATCCGTATCTTTCCAGTTCTTCCTCTTGTCATGTTACAGGACAGGAAAACTTCTCTGCCCATAGGCCAAGTCAGACCCTGGAACAGTCTGTGAGCCTGATCCTCTGCTACTACTGTCACATGAAGGGCCTGTTGTAAAGATGGTACTTTTCGTTTGTTTTACTTTTTAGTGTGTGAGATATATATATATATATATATATATATATATATATATATATCTGGGTATGTGTGTGGTTTGTCTCTGATTGTGTGCGTGCATGAGTGCATGTGTGTGTGTCTGTGGTGTGTGGTGAGTCTGTGTCGAGTCTGTGTGTGGCAGTGTGTGTATGGTGTATACGTGTGTGTGTGGTTTGTCTGAGTGTGTCTGTATGTGCACATGTGTGTGTAGTGTCTCTCTGTGTGTGTATCTGAGTGATGTGACTGACTTAGTGTGTCTGTCTGTGTTGTGTGTGGTTTGTCTGTGTGTGCGTGTGTGTGTGTGTGGTGTTTCTCTCCATGTGTGTATCTGAGTGATGTGACTGACTGTATCTGTCTGTGTTGTGTGTGGTGTGTCTGTGTGTGTGTGTGTGTGTAGTGTCTCTCCGTGTGTGTATCTGAGTGATGTGACTGAGTTGTGTGTGTGTGTAGTGTCTCTCCGTGTGTGTATCTGAGTGATGTGACTGAGTGTATCTGTCTGTGTTGTGTGTGGTGTGTCTGTGTGTGTGTGTGTGTGTGTGTGTAGTGTCTCTCCGTGTGTGTATCTGAGTGATGTGACTGAGTGTGTCTGTCTGTGGTGTGTCTGTGTGTGTGTGTGTGTGTAGTGTCTCTCTGTGTGTATATCTGAGTGATGTGACTAACTTAGCGTGTCTGTCTGTGTTGTATGTGGTTTGTCTGTGTGTGCGTGTGTGTATGTGTGGTGTTTCTCTCCATGTGTGTATCTGAGTGATGTGACTGACTGTATCTGTCTGTGTTGTGTGTGGTGTGTCTGTCTGTGTTGTGTGTGGTGTGTCTGTGTGTGTGTGTGTGTGGTGTGTCTCTCCGTGTGTGTATCTGAGTGATGTGACTGTCTGAGTATGTCTGTCTGTGTTGTGTGTGGTGTGTCTGTGTGTGTGTAGTGTCTCTCCGTGTGTGTATCTGAGTGTGTCTGTCTGTGTTGTGTGTGTGTGTTTGTGTTTGCCCTGGTGCACAAAGGACAACTTTCAGGAAGCCGTTTGTTCCGGCTACCTTGTTAAGACAAGGTCTCTCCTGCTTCTGCACTTTATACTCCAAACTCAGTCAGCCTTCCTAGCTTCCGGGGGCTTGTCTCCTGTCTGTGCCTCCCGTCTCACCCTGTACTGGGACTATGGGTATGTGCCACCACACCCAACTTTTTACGTGAGTTCCGGGTATTGAACTCAGGCTGTCAGGCTGGGGCAAGTGTGCTCACTCCACATTCACAACTGAGATCCTGCACCATCCCCAAACAGCATTCTTTACGACCTTCTTGGCACAGCTGAGCGCAGGTCTGAGTCAAGGCAGTGTCACCTGTTCAGACGCCCACAGTCACACCGCGTCCTGCCCTCCTCACACATGCCTAAGCAGTGTCTTCTAACTACCCTGAGCCAAGTCAAGTCCATACATCTCATGATGACAGCACCCTGCTAACCTGCCACAGAGCACTGGGAACAGTAACCTCTAAATCCTCATCCTCGATCCTAAGAGCACTAGAACTCTAGACCACACTGCTACCTGGAGCTGCAGCTATCAGGGAGTCCAACTCTCCTTCTCCACAGAGAACCTACTGTTTAGGAACTAGAGCAGACCAACTGGATTCCATGTCCCCTAACTCCCAGCTGAATGCTCTTCTCTTTGAGCAAGACATCAAGAAACATAAGGCTTTAAAGGAAGGATTCTTCTCTAAATCCAGAATCTTGGCAGTCACCACGGGTTCCCTGGAAAAGTACTCCAGCGGGACTGGGTAGAGAGGCAAAAAGAGAAACAGCTCTGCAAAAACAAACCCTGCTCTGAGGCTCTGCAAACAAGAGAGAGCAAGGAGGGGAGGAAAGAGAGGCCTCTGGTGAAAGGAACCGAGGCCCAGCTGTGGAGTTGGCCAGTAGGAGGGAGCTTGCCAGGGACCAGCAGCCATGCAGATGCAACAATTGGAAAGCAAGATGCGCAAGCAGCCCTCCCCAAAGCCAGCCCCTCCCCTTCATCCCCATAGCACTCACACATCCAGAGGTAGTAGAGGCGCTTGGTCAAGCTGAGATGCTGAGGAGGGATGTCTGCTTCAAAGTCCTGGTAGAAACATGGCTTCAGCGGGATAAATTTGGGCAGCGGTGGGAAGTTGTTCACTTTCTCTGTGGGGGAGATACAGCGCAGGCCATCACCCGGATGGACGTCTCTCCTGGCCTCCCTTCTTGATCCTATAGGTCCTATATGCCCTAGCACGGCTGCCTATAGAGCTATATACTCCTGGCCCTGCGCCCTGGAGGCTTTGCTATCCCCTCCCAACTGTATTTCCTTAATCTGTCAAGATGATCCCCCTAAGAAATCGAAGATGCTAAAACAGCACCTCTCAAAAGAATACAAAAATAATAAATGCTGTCATCAGTGTGAGGTGCTCGCCACAATAGACAGCAGGTTCCATGGCACGGGAAGAGTCTGGAGATGTGGGTCCCGGCCCCTTCTCCACCGTTAGCCATTCAATTCACTGGCTCTCTCCAGACCTCAGCTGCTCAGTGGAGTGGGATCTGGGCTACACGTTAAAGTTCCTTTCAGCTTTGATACCGTGTACCTCTGGGCCTTAAGAAACCGGAGGAAAAAGTCTGAGTACAATGGTAACACCAGGGACAGGTAACACAGAGACAAAGCTGGACGATAAGATGCTCAACTCAGGACCCCAGGCTCAAAATCTGACATAGGACTGGACGGTGCTATGAAGTTCTCAGATAGACAAGCCACACTGGGGGTGAGAGGTAAGAAACCAGGAGACAAGAGTGCATACAAAAAGAACAGGACTTCCAACAAGGGCCAATTACTTTATGCTTTTTTTCATGTCTACCCCAACATGGCCCACTTCTTACCCGCCATGATGGACCAGCCAGTCCAGTATTCTGCTCACACCTTTGTCCTGAACTGGAAGGAAAGAAAAACGAGACGGGAATGAGGATCAGAACCCCATCTAACGTGGCTCTCTACACTGCGGCTGTGCTTCATGCTCTCTGAGGCATGACAGGCTCCGTTCCCGCTGTGGCACGAGCCCCGATGGAGCAGCTCTTCATCTGCAGGAGCCGCCACAGCATCACCCACATCCTTAGCTATTTCCCGTGCCAGTCAGTTTTAAAGGCTAACTTGTCACAATCTAGAATCACCTGGGAAGACAGGTCAATTGAGAAGCTGCCTCGATCAAGTTGGTACGGGCATGTCTGGGGGGGACTGTATTGAATGTTAATTAACATGGGAAGACTCAGAACACTGCTGGAGGCACCATTCCCTGAACAGGTGATCCTGGACTTGTAAGTGAAGAACACTCGCTGAACATAAGCTAGGAACCAAGCGGCACCGCTGTGCTTCCTTCTCTCTACTCCTATGGATGGGATGTAACTAGCTGTTGAAGATCCTGCCTGACTTCTACCCAGGGATGGACCTGGAACTATAGGCATCACAAACTCTTCCCTCCCTTAAGTCACTTTTGGCCCGTGTATTTTGTTTTGAAACAGGGTCTCTGTATGCAGCCCCAGCTGGCCTGGTACCTATGTGCACTAGGCTGGTCTTGAACTCGAAGAGATCCACCTGCCTCTGCCTCCTGAATACTGAGACTAAAGGCATGTGCCACCAAACCCCAGCTGATCAGGGTGTTTTAATAACAGCAAGAGAAATGAAACTAGATCCACCTTTTGCCTCAAGACACAAAGTCTATCCTCAGAAAACCCCACCCAGGGCTAGTGAGGTAACTCAGCTGGGTAAAAGCCGCACACGTCTGATGACTAGTTAAATCCCTGGATTCCACAATGGAAGAAGAGAAACTTGTCCATTGATCACATGTGGCACACACAATAATAAGGAGGTAAACAAACAGAAAGAAAGCTCACAGAAGGCAGGAAAGAGCATCCCATTCTCTCACCCTCACAGGTGAAGCTGACCTCCCTCCTGTTATAAGCTCACATATTAGAATTTCTTTACCTGCCAGGTATCAAGGAAAGAGACAGAGCAAGGCAGATACGGCCTGTGCCCTGCATGGAAAGCAGTCTGGAGCCCCTGCAGGTGGTCACACAAGGGAAACAAGCCTGCAGGGCAGCCCCAGCACTTGGAGGTTAATCCAAGGACAATCACAGGTTCAAGGTCAACCTGGGCCACTGGGATTCCTAAGATTATTTAAGAGCCGATTTACTAGGGACCTGGAGGGAGGATGTGTGGAATAAAAAGAAGGAAGCAATCAGGCAGACTCGCGGCCACTTAGACCACTGGGCAAATGATAATGGCTCTCAACCAGAAGCATGTGTGAGAAGAGGTTCAGGGGCCAGGAAGACAAGCTGTGTCATGGGCACGGTGGGAAGATTGTCAGGCAGGGCTTCGTGCTGTCATTAGGAGCACACAGGGTCAGAAATTCAGCAGAACTTTCGCTGGCACATACATTAAGTCATCACTGATGACATATGGTCATTGAAGCCACTGTGCAATCACATACTAGAACAGCACCCTTAGTGGACCCATATGTGAGCAAGATCAGAAAATGGTCAAAGGCAATGACAATGTGCCATTTTCAAAACTTGGCTGACATTTATCTAAAGTTCCATTTGTTTTGTTTTCAAGCAAAACTAATCTACGATGTTAAAAGTGAGGACATAGGGCTGGGCAAGACGACTCAGTGAGGCCAGGTGGTGGCAGTGCATGCCTGTAATCCCAGCACTCAGGAGGCAGAGGCAGGCGGATCTCTGTGAGTTCGAGGCCAGCCTGGTCTACAGAGCGAGTTCCAGGACAGTCAGGGCTACACAGAGAAACCCTGTCCCAAGGAAGCAAAAAGGAAAAGTTAGAGGGAAATACAAGTGATGTCAGCAGTGGATTACAAAACACAGAGTGAAACAGTGTACGTGCTTTGTGTCATCTCGGCACTCAAGACGCTGAGACAGGAAGAGCACAAGGTGAAAGCCAGCGTGGGATGCAGCCTTAGAGAGGAAGAGCTGAAGGGACCTGGGATAGAGCTCAGTGGGAGGTCACATGATTAGACTGTGCAAGGCTTGGGCAGGCAAGATGGCTGAGTGGATAAAGAGCCTGAGCCCAAGTCTATGATCTGAGGTCAGTCCCTGAGTCACACACGGTAGGAGAGAACCAGCTTCCCCAGCTCGACCTCTAACTGCCTCAAGTACTCCACGAGGCTCGCATGCCTGTGTGCCTACACACACTAAATAAATGTAGAACTTTTAAAAGGGGGGGGGGTTGGAAGATGCACCATGAAGAGGGCATTGGATCCTCTTGGACTGGAGGTATGGATGGTAGTGAGCTGCCCCGCGGATGCTGGGAATCAAACCCAGGACCTCTGGAAAGAACAGCCAGCACTGTTACCACTGAGTCACTGCAAAGTTCTTTTGATAAAGTGGAAGGGATGACAGATCCTTAAAAATCGCCATTTTGAGGCTAGAGATACCACTCGGTGGCTTTCTGTGCAAACATGAGTGACCTGAATGTGAATCCCCGGTACCTAAATAAAAAACTGGATGTGACCACATGCACCTGTAACCCATTGCTGTTGACATCAGAGACTAGAGGATCGTCAGGGCTTGCTGCCTGCCTCGCCAAAAACAGCAACCTCCAGGTGGGAGATCTTGTCCTCCTGTGACGGAGCAGGACACCTGACATTCATCTCTGACCTCTGCAGGAACTTACATGAGTGCGCAGGGGTGCATACATACATACATACACACACACACACACACACACACACACACACACACCAATATAGCACACATACACACAAATCTCCACTCTGCAAGGGGCACAGGTAGGATTACTTGGCTACCAAAACCACCATGTGAAGGTTGCTATGGAAAAGCAATAGTGTGAGTGTCACATTTCAGGCTGGTTATGAATCTTGAGAGAGAGAAAGTATTCCTAAATGAAAGAATAAGGCAGACCAAAGGATCAAACTTAGCATTCATGATAACAGAATAAAAAGGCAATGTGTGCACAGAACTCTTCTGTGTAATGGTGTTGCCAAAAAATATTTAATCTGAAAGTAAGTATGAGTCAAGCATGGTTGAGCATGCCTATAGTCCCAGCAATAGAGACAGAAGCAGCAGGATCAGGAGTTCAAGACCAATCTGAACTACCAAAGGCCTCACAAAGGGGAGGACGGTTATTAAAAAAAAGAAAAACAACTGTTCACAAAAAGACAGCTTCCTTATGTGTTTATATATATATATACATACACACACATGATACTGAGTTAAATTCACAAAAGCAGAAAAAATAAAGGTAATAATCAATGGAGGAGGAAGAATCTAAAAGGGGAAGTTTGGGGCAGGAGGACCCTAATGTAAGTAGGTAGGCTGAGCCATAAACTCAGTAGGTGGGAAAAGTAGACGCAGGCAGGTGTGGGGCACTGGACTAGAGCAGGAGTCAGCCTCCTGGGACACTGTACAGAAGGACAAGCCGGAATAAGAGGAAGGAGCCAAAAGCAGGGCACTCAGGGCATGGGCAATGACAACACCACCTAAGTGTTCTGTGACAGTAAACACAGAGCTGTGGGGACAAAGCACCTCCCTGGTACTTGCCGGTGGTACCAACAAGGGCTCCACAGAGGAAGCAAGAGCAGATCTGAACAGGCAAAGGTCAAATAGGAGTTAGCTGGGCAAAATGCGTAAAGGAAACAGAGGAGGCCAAAGGAGCAATGCATGCATCCCCATTCAAGGAACACAGAGGCAGACTGAGCAGAAAGCGTGAAGAAGAAGGAGAAAAGGAAGGGCAAGAGGGTTACAAGGGGCTAGAGAGACTGCCCAGTGGTTAAGAGCGCTTACTGATGCCCTTTGACACTCATACATGCAAACACATACACAAAGATAGATAGATGATAGATAGATAGATAGATAGATAGATAGATAGATAGACAGATAAAATAAAAGCCAGGCAATGGTGTCACATGCTTTTAACCCCAGCACTTGGAAGGCAGAGGCAGGCGGAGCGCTGTGAGTTTGAGGCCAGCCTGGTTTATAGAGCGAGTTCCAGGACAGCCAAGGCTACACAAAGAAACCCTGTCTTGATAAGCCAACATAAATAAATAAATGTAAAAGAAAATGAGCTTTAGAAAAAACTTCTAGGGCTGGGGAGATGGCTCAGTGGATGAAGCACCTGCTCGAAAGCCTGAGGACCAGAGCTTAACTCTCAAGCACCCATGTAAATGGCAGGCAGAAGTGGTAGCCGACCTGTTTTCCCAGCTCTCCCATAGCAGAGAAGGGGATCTTCAGAGCAGGGCAGCTACGAAAATAGCCACATAAGGACGCTCTGAGTTCAAGCAAAAGACACATGGAGTGAAGAGCAATCCAGGAGGACACCTGATGCCAACCTCTGCCTCCGCATGCACATATTTGTGTTCCCACACCGGGATACACAGATACACAGACACACATACATATCAAAAATTAATAATGATAACAACAGTAATACTTTGAGCTGGGCATAGTGGTGTAGGCCTGTAATCCCAGGATTTTGGGGGGCTCAGGCAGGACTGCCATTATTTCCAGCCCAGCCTGGAAGACATATTAAGATTCTGTCTTCCCTACCCTTCCAAAACAATAAAAATAAAAATCTTGAAGCTAGAGAGATGGCTTTGTGGATAAAGTATTTGTCACACAGGCATAAGGAAAAGAGTTTGGGTCCCCAGCACGCATGCAGAAGCAGCTTGGATGAGGGGACATGCATTTAATTCCAGAGCTGGAGGCAGTGACAGGTTATCCTCAGGGCAAGCTAGCTAACTACCCTAGCCAAATTGGCAAGATCCTGCCTTAAGTAGAGAGGAAATGAGAAGGACACCTGACATCAACCTCCACACACATGCACACATACATGTGCATCCACACACATGCACATTATAAAAGAAACCTGTCAGGCAGTGGTGGTGCACACCTTTAATCCCAGCACTC